AAATTACCAGCTTCTAAATAAGTTTCTAAATTACCAGCATTAACTTGACAAAGTTGCAGCAATTTTGTACAAGCATAATAAGCATTTTTGTGCGGTTTGCTTAACAACTATCTCCCATAGCATATCAATGAATGTTTTTTGAACAAAGGGAGCAGGAAACACTAACAGTTTAAGAAACTGTTAGCTATATAACACCATTATAAGGTGTTAAACCCCAGCTGTTACAGAAAAATAACTTTTTGTTACTACCTTTTCTGTAAGATTGCAGAAACCTCATGTGAGAGGAAAATAAAATGAAAAACCAAGTTCCCCAAAACAGCAACCACAATCCTGCACATTTCATCTGATTTTAGTACTTTCAACACTACGCTGCCACTGAAATGTCCACAGAAGTGGGTCTTGTTCGCAGTTAGATGCTACTCGGACAACAGCACGGACTGCAGAGGTCTGAATGTCCTTCGGCTCTTTTGTCTCTGATCCAATGTGACAGAAGGCTTCTTCTTAGCATTGGGAACATGACACAGCATTTCATCCAGGTTCAGTGCGGTAACCTGACCTGACATCTGCAGCTTGGCCAAAGCCCCTTTCACTTGGCTGTGCAGCACAGGGATACTCTTGGTCCGGTCTTGGATGGCATCAATCTTCAAATAGATACAAAAGGGATTTTCACTGCTCTTTTCTTAAGCTACGATACATCCTAACTAGTGTAGGGTAGGCTTTTCTATGTTCTTGTGACAAACTGATCATCATTTCAGATCAAGAATAGCACACATATAGTTATATATAGCCTACAAGGAAGATGTCTCAGAGCATGCAGCTGCCGTGAATAATGAGAATAATAATTGGCCCTGGTACTTTCACAATGGGGATGAGGCCAGACCTATCTAAAGAGATGTAGAGGCACAAACAGTATACCACTGTGTTAGCTATGTCCAGCTGATAAACCACAAGAAGGGTGAAACAGCTGTCCATGGCTGCTAACTTTGAGATTACACAGGCAAAAGGCAGAAGGAGATCTTTTCAGACCCCTTGTGAAATTGCAAGGGCAAACTGATGTTGATTCCAAATACATGCAAAATACAACAAAAATGTATTTGCTCTTGGATGTCCCCAGGCTAGTTGACTGGTATTGGCAACTTACCACTTCCTGAGAGAATTCAGGCCTTCTTACAAATTTCGGAACATCAGACGTCAGGACTGCAGACGTCAGGAAAGAGAGGAGATCATTCACAGCTCCCGTCATGGCCAACAGTAGGACCTGGCAAGCATAAGTTTAATTAATCAACCACAATTGATGACATTTTATAGATCCTTACAGAACTGAACCATGCATTTGAAAAAATCTGTAAGGATTTAATATCGATTGCTAAAAGAATATTACACATTCTCAAAAATTCTCATGTCCTACCATTGAATACAGAATCATAACTAATACTTCATTTCATTCAAAAGTATTGAATTGCAGCATGGAACACAATTTCTTATTAAATTATTAAATGATGATTTTTGACTGGTACAATTAAAGTAATGTAAGAACTTATGTTCTTCCAAAAAATTCCAAGTTTTTTTACTGTCCCCAACTGACTTTAAAAGCTAGTCTCTGAAATAAATGCCACCTGCTAACGATGAATAATTTCAAACATATTTTTGTCATGTAGGTATTATTTAACATTAAAGTCTGTAACATTTTAACATGGTAACAGAATTAAACTTAAACACAAAATACAATAACCAAAACCTGCACAGAAGAGGTTGTATTGGATTTAACTTTATCAATACTTGTGGTTTAATACTGATGACACAAAGTAATATGCTGCTCCAACAAAGTCCAGATTTATGTACTAAAATATATCAGGTATATCAAATTCTTTACAGTTCTCAATAAGCCGTCAAGAATCATCGACTTTAGTTTCTAAAGAGAAAGATGGTTTGAAAGGAGAAATGTAAACTAATTTCATCCATTTATGGATTCTATAGGAAGTGCATTCTCTAAGACATTTAACTGAGTTCCTGACCACTTGGTCATTTAAGATCCCATGAATCTATTGAAAGAGTAAGGCTGCTGGTTAAATTCCAATCTAGAACTGTACAATCAGGCCTCCCTTAATTAAACTTTCTCACTTCTCCACCTAAACTGCTGTGTGGTGGGGCTGCAGGCGCATAACATCTAATTAATTTCACTCAGGTGGGTAATGGAATGCCTTTACTGTTGAAAAATCTAAACAGATATGGGACAAAAACTTTGAGATGACAGAAGAGGTCACAGTGATGTGATTCTATTTAGGAAAGGACTGCAAATACAGAAATAAAAGAAGAAGGATAGAAAAACTTGCCAACTGGCTCTGCTCACTATAAGAGTTTAGACTATCGCAAGCTTATACACAACCATGGACAGATGCCGGCACACAGATTTAGTTCTTGATGTTTTCAACTGTTGCCACATCTGCTGTTACAACTGCAGACTCTATGAAAAAGACTTACTTTAAGATTCAGGCAAAGTTTGCTCTCAGTATTCATGATCTGCGAGTAAAAGGATCTTGCTTTTTCAACATCCTCCTGAAAATGAAAGTGTCATTATCACATAGCTACTGTATGGTTACAGTACACTGCATAGTAAAGCATAGCATTTCTCTTTTTTCAATATTATTATTACTTATTACATATAATTATAATTAAATTATTATTATTATTATTATTATTATTACTTTTATATAGTATAAAATATATTATATATATATTTGCTGAAATATATTTATATTACACTAATAATTTATTCATGTGGTCCATT